AGCTCTACCAGCCCAAGCAGTGTTACCCCGCGCAGGCCCAGCGCGCGCGTAGCTGCATGTGCAGGCACGGGCGATCGCAAGGCCACGCACGAACGCGCGCATCACGCTGGCGGATGGCATCGCTAACTTTGGGCGGGCGGATGTCGGGAAAACCCGGGTCCCCGGGGGGGTCAACATATGCGGCAAGTGGCCCTCTACCCCTGGTGGCCTGATTGGGCCTCCCGAGCATTCCCGCCGACATGGCTGGGCATTGCGAAAATTCGTTTCCTGGGTACGCCCAAGATTCATAAAAGGAATTGCCCCACTCGGAGTCTTCCAGTGGAACCTCAAAACCATAAGCCCCTTGAAAGCCCTCCTGTTGAGTACCCTTACTCTGGGAGAAGCTGTCGCATTCCATGGTGGAAGTGGGACCCCACGGGCTCATACGGCCCACAGGGCTTAAAGAGTATTGGATCTGTTTGGCCTGAAAGGCTGCCTCCCAGATCGGTGTGGGGAGATAAGCGGCCTGGTTGGCACTGATGAAACTCCTCAGCTTGGCCCTCCCCCTACTTCGGCGGCGTCCGGCTTCTACCTCTCCCATCCTGGCTTGTCGGGGCCGCCAGGCCAGAAGGGGCCTCCACCTCCGTTTTGCGCTTCTTGTGCACCAGTTCCTTTTGGATTGCTCCACCAGCTCTTGGAATTTCTTGAACTGGTCATCGGTGAGGGCCACCCCCATTTTCTGAAGGAGGCTCTTAATGGCCTCCGGATCCGGAGTGGCCTCCATCTCCTCGTCTTTATCCTTGTTATCCTTGTCGTTCTCAGGCCCTATGACCACCTCAGCAACCTTCGTTTTGGCTTGATCGACCTCCTTCTGGGCCTCCTGGAGCTGGGCCGTGAGGTTCTGCATGTCCTCGAGCTCGACCCTGAGCTGTTCTTTGAGTTGGTCGATTCGGACTTGAGCCTCTATCTGCTTGGTGGCCAAGGTTCGGAACCTGAGGGTGGCCTGGGAAAGGGTCTTTGTCACCTTTGCCCCTAGTTCTTTCTGCGTTGGTTCCTGAATCTTGTGCATGGCTTGGTACGCTTCCAAAACCTCTTTCGGCAGCTGGCTCTTGCACGCTTCGAGGGCTTGCTGGAGCGGGTCTTCCGGCTCGGCTCCGGCGCAACGAAGCCTACCTTCTGAAGCTTTTCCTTGACCTCATCACTGAGGCTCATCCAGTTCTTGTTGAGCGCCGTCAGCACCTTGCTGCCAACTCTTTTGGCTGCTCCTTTTTCGGTGACTGGGGTTCCTGGCTCGAGTCCCAATCTTTGGAGTGGTCCCCTCCTCCATTGGGTTTAGCTGGGAACCTCCTTCCACACTTGCAGTGGGGGTTGTGCTTGAGTCTGCTCTCCCACTGCCAACCCCAGCAGCTCTTGCAGACCACGTACCTTTTGTTTGCCGTTGCTCGGGTCATTGCTTACCCTTTGAGCTGCTGGCAGGCTCTTCTTCTCCCTCCAAGTCTTCCGACTCGGCGTCCGACCACCCCTGGTCAGCGACGCGCCATTTCAGTCGCCGCAGGAAACTGCGGTAGAAGTCTCCCACAAGGAGATTGGTGACGTGCTGGACCACGTCGTTGAAAGGAAGACCCTCCGTCTCCTGGTTGTATCGGATAATGCAGTTCCGGATATGACCCGAGGAGAGGTTTTGTGCTGTCAGCTGGCGCCTATATTGCAGTCGGCCCTCCGACCTTGCCAATCTGACGTCTCCCTTATCCTTTTTGTCGGACGTTGCAAGAGCAACGTAGGGGAGGACACTTTGCGCTTTCGTGGCCCCTACCACGTGTCGCTGGCACTGTGTGCCGTGGCTGTAGGCCTTCTTCACGTTGAGCGCGCAAGCCAAGCAGACGCCATTTTCTCCCTTGCCAGGTTGGTCCTGTAAAGCTGGACGAGATAGTCTGACTGTGATTCTTTGTTCCACTCGGCTGCCTTTCCCCGTCCTGTTTGCTTCCACTGACCTGTGACTTTCCCTCCCTTCCATTGTCATGGCTAAACTGGTCCCCAACATTCCTGCTTCCTTTGTACCCGTTCCGGTTCCCACTAACAGTGGCGTGCGGCGCGGATCCATGGCTGTATCTGTTTTCACCGAAGTTCAGTACACCCCTGATTGGAAAACCCAGGTCCCCGGATGCAGACCTCCGAGTTACCCCCAGGATGCCGGTACTAATGCGGCAATCCGAACACTACCCTGCAGCGACACTACCCTGCAACGTGAGGGGGATTACAGCTCACACCAAGACAGACTCTCCCTTGTAGGCTGGGCTCCCCCCGTCTATGAAATGGCAGTGGACGTGACGCCTCAACAACGCGGCATCCACCCCCGGCTGAAGGTGGGCCTACCCCCCCCCAACCTCCGGGGGCCGCGCGAGCGATACCCCCCAGGGAAAGTAGGAGGAGACTTGAGCCAAAATGACTACGGTTTCGTTCTTTCTGTCTCCTGTGGCGCATGTTGTTCTGCAATTTCGCGCTTTCTCTCGGCTGCGTTGGAAACCTCCATTATTTGCAGCACCTCCAGCAGGCCCAGGGAGGCACTGGGAGGCCTTGGGAAGCTGGCAGGCCCGGAGAGCCCTGGGAGGCCTGGAGAGCCTACATAAACCTTATCATTTTTTGTGTTGATCCCTTATCATTCTTGTTGATGCACCTCCCCAACAGAAACTGGATAGTTGCATAGGGATGCAGCAGGAAGCTAACAGAAAGGCAGCAGAGAAGATGTGAGGGGATGATGGGAGATGTCAGAGATTTGGAGCAAACTCCGCGCTTTCTTTCACCTGGCTTTCACCCAGCCATGTCAGTCGCAGAGTCTATGAGCTTGTCTCCGAGCTGTTTTTTCCCTGTCTCGCCCTGCAATAAAAGAGTAGATTCCGAAGATCTGCTCTCAATTTTGTGGTGGATACAGAAGTTTCCTGCTTTTGCGCTTCTGTCTGATTGCTTGAGAACCTCGACACCTTGCCCTAGCACCATGAAGCATGGAAGCAGCTGGCTTGGGTCGGGACGATTGTGATGCGGTTGTGTAGCTGTTGTCATATGCCTGCAGAGGCAATCAGCATTTGAGAGTTCACAGATGCACAGTGGCTCTGATCAGCCTGCACGTGCACGCCAGCGACGGCCTCCAGCGTGAGACTTCCCGCATCTATTAAGTCTAGTGCTTCCGGAAGATTGTCACCCTGCCACATAGCTCATGATTGGGGCGGTGGCGCGACCAGATGCATCCGCGCGTCCCTGGAAGGCTTTGTCCCACTTCAGCGCAACCTAGCCAGCTTTGAAGTGCTTCGATCGTTTGACCAGGAAAACACAAACCCAAAGAGCACAGGAACAAGCGTCCTACTTGATGCTACGTTACTTTGGCTTGAAACATCTTTCTGCTTTCCCATCATGAAAGCTAGCCACTTGGCCCGAAGCAACAGAAAACAGTAACTAGCCGGAGATGTCTACTGCATGGAGTGAAACATTGTTGGCGCACCCAACGGAAAAACACGTCCACAAAGATTATCGGTCTCACTGCTACTCTTACGATATCTTTGCACATCTTCGCGATGGAACCTCACTGGAGCATGCGATGGAATCCTGCCATCCCACCTGCCAGAAACTGGTCGCAAATGCTTTGTGGATGCAACTGCTGACCGCCAGCACCAAGCCCGAAACACATCCGGCTGCTGCTGAATTTTCCCCGAAGTGCTGTGCAAAGAATTGCCGGAACATGTATGCCTGCAGGGTAGCAGACAGCAACCTACAAACAGGGTTGAAGCAATGACAAGCTCTGGGGCCTCCTTCGTTCGAGGCGTTTTGACTGGGAATCCTCAGGTACAGAGTGCTCTGGCTCTTACCTTTCTCCCTTACTCTGATATTGAGCGAGCGAAGCGAGTCAAGTCTCTGTTGGGTGCAGTCGCCATTTGCCTCATTTCAGCAAGATATATTGCTACGTGTACCGCAGAGTCAGTCAGTCATACAATGGATGATAGGCTGACATGATAGTCATCTGCAAAGGTACTGATCGGTGACAGCTTTCTCAGCATGCGCCTGGCGCAATCTGATGTGAACACATTGGCCCTTAGCCATCCATTTGCAGTGGCCAGATGCTGCCAACCTTGATGGAGTCGATCCAGCTGTACCCGACGCCGTCGCTGAACTGCTCCTGCACCCAAGGTGCTGACCCCCTGCGAACGACACAATGCGATGGTTGCCAGTCCTTCTGTCGCCAGAGAACTTCTTGGGGCAAGTAAGCCCGATCACTTGGCAAATCAAACGCCTTTGTCACAGCGATAAGAAAACATCAAGATCCCTTCGCAATTTTACCAAAAGATGAGGTGAGAGAGAGCGGCCTTGCGCAGGATCCATTTCTCGCAGCGAGGCTTGCCTGCCTGGCAAAAGGCGGCAAGCTGAAGGCCCCCCGCTGCGCCTCGTTTTGTCGACTCCACTTTTGCCTCATCTTTGCACATCTTCTGTACTGGATCGAAGCCCATAGCAACCTGCATCTCTGTGCGGCCGTGAATGCCCTCTGCACATCAACGCAGCAGGCTGGCAGGCAGCAGGCTGGCTGGCTTGCCTCCATAAATTTCCTGTCCAAGAAAGGAACACGAGCCTGTCACAAAGCTGCGGCTTTGGGATAGCTTAATGGTTGCTCGCACATGTGCAGCTCGTGGTCCTCTTTTAACAGGTCCGGCCTCAACACCCCACGCCATCATGGCCTTGTTTGCCCGGAGACAGTCGTAGAGGTGCAGCTGCTTGATCTCAGGGTATGTCCAGGATGGGGACAGGTTGGATGGGACCCTGCAGAATGCATGCACCAGCATAGGAAAGTTTGCCCGAATTCACAAGCCACCATCCATGATCATCTTTGCAACCGCCTTCGGAACCATCATCACTGCTGCGGCTAGTCGCCGCAGCCACCACCACCGTCACCAGCAGCAGCAGTCAGCGGTGGCAGAAGCAGCAGCAGCGGCAGCAGTGCCAGCTTCTCGCTCTTGCAAGATAACTACTCCTGCCAGTGGCTCAATTATGCCTCCCAAATCAGCTGTTTCCCTCCAGGCGAGAAGTACTGCTGTCATCACTAGTGCTACTGCTGTCCGAAATAAATGTCTTTATCCATACATTGGCAAACATTGCTGCCGACATGGCTCAAGGCCTTTCGGCAATTCTCCGCATGGAATTCCTCGGCATTGGGCGCCTTGTGGAAGTATAAGTATCCTGGACCAAGTTCTGGGAAGAATCAAGCCCACGTAGGAGTCACCCGACCTCCAAAAATTTCATCGGCACCTTCGCCACTGAGAACCATTTTCACCCCGGCAGCCCTGCGTGGCAGATTCATCGCATGAATGTGCAGTTGGCACTGGTACTCTGCTCCGCTCCTAATTCTGCGTGCCATTAAGTACATGGGCGTGGAAGCGCGAATGGTAGTGACATCAAAGGTTTCCAGGTGATAGATTACCTGCCATCTGGGCACAGTGCAGGCTTCTCGGCAATGCCCATGGAATTGAGCCCCGGACATCTGGCAGGGCATCAAGGGCCTCATCGACTGTGAAGACGTATTCATGGTGGACCGTGCCGAGAAAGGATGCAACCTGTGAACGTCTGCTTGTCTAAGAAGACCTCCATAGATGCCCTGTGTGTAAGTTCATGCACAGTTCAGCCTCCTTCGCCGCCTTGAGATCTGGGCCTCAGAAGAGCACAAAGCAGATAATATGAGAAGCCCTCCCATCAAGGCACGTCAAAACAACCCACCATTTTCAATGAGGATCATACTGCCTCGCAGACCGGTGCTGAATGAGTGCAGCTGTGGCCACGATGCAGGTCCATGCTCACATTTCCTATCAACGACAGCACTGATCTCCAGTCGCTTGCCCGAACAGTGCCAATCGCCTGTGGCTGTTCTTGGACATGATAGAGGCCACAAGAGAAGAGTCCAGGCCACCGCTCAGCAGCACTCCGTAGGGAACATCAGACTGGCACAGCAAGGCAAGTTCATTCAAAATGCATCTTTCTGTGCCAGGACGGTGGAACCATCATGTGCGAGATAACTGCGTTCTCGAAGGCTTCCCGCAAAGCCGAAAGCGCCATTTCCTGCAAGTCGCGATAAGCACAGTGACTCGACAACGGCGTGCAAGGCAGCCATCCTTTGTTGGAACAGGCGTGGGCTGATTCCACACTGGCGTGTAGAACATCCGCCTCTGCCCCTGGCAACTAAGGACACTCCATATCCAGAATACAAGATCCACACACGCTTGGTGCATGGGTACTAGTCGAGCACTGCATGGGGCGGGCGGCAGCTTCATGATGCTATAAAAAGACGGCGGCACCGAAGCAGAATCGAACACGTGCCCAGGCGGAAACTCCTCGTACCTTTCGCAAGCCTGGCGCCACAGCTGCGTGCCAATCCATGAAATGACCTCGAAAATGGTACTAGATTTAGGTGCAGCAAGAGGACAAAACAAAGTCCAGAATGCAAATCGGACTTTTGCTGCGTTCGTCAAAGCTGAATGTGTCAATGTTCTGCTTTGTGACGCGGCAATGAACATGCGTGTTGTCGTTTGACAGAGGCATGGTCCCCAAACCAGCAGCATTACCAGCATGATACCACAGCGCTTCTTGCATGTTAGCATCAAAGAAAGCTCGGGGCTTCACGCTCTCGCAGCACTGGCGAGTTGCCGTGAAGAAGTCACATTGTCGCATTGTTTGACAGGATATTATGCCAAGTGGTCTTGGGCGGCCCATTCTCGCGACTCAACGCCCTTATCAACAGCTGAGTGTGGCAAAAGCTGGTTTGGTTGTTTGTCAAGTTTACCCAAATGGGCCACATGCCCGGGACAAGTTCGCTTCGCGAGCCCATCCACTGAGACTGAGAGTTGATCTGAATCGTCCGGTGGCCGATGGCCGCTTTCCAGGACTGTATTGCGGCTCACGATGCCCGCCGTTACATAAGCAAGGCACTCCTAGGCAGATCATGTATAGGTGTTGATACATCCATCTTGAGCGAAGGGCGGTCAAGCAGGACAGGTCTCCAAGTGTCTATGACGATCAGCTATGCAGTCTATAGCATTTAATGACAAGCTCTCTCTGCACAAACCTGCACACCAACAGATTCCATTGGGACAGGAGTCCTTGATCCATGGAATGCATTATCAGCATGACTCATGCGATGGACCCAGCTACTTGCAGAGTTGAGAGCTGCCCTCTACAGCATCAGGGATCCGCCTGCGATAGCCTTGCACACTTGTGTAACACTTGTCTATATCTTGTTAGAGCGGTCGTCAGCACCATGCACACCACCTCAGAGTTTGGCATGTCAGACGTTGGAGTGGTCGCCTCTGAGCAGCCTGTACAGTTCTCTGCGCAGGCACGGACTTACTGATGGCAATCCTGCGCGGGATACATCTCGAAGCAATAAGAACATGCCAGCACCACACACCAAACACAGACGCTGCCATCATGGCACCTGAGAAAACAAGCGAGAATGCCAACATGCTATGCTTGAGTCCAGACGCAACATGCAACCTCATGCAGCCGCGTTCATTCAGCCCCGCTTACAACGATTTCATAAAATCCTCAGCCATTTCTGAAGTCGCATTACACCCTGCAAGCTAAAGAATCTAAGTTGCACATGTACAAACAAGACAATTTACGCTAGGCGTCTGCCACTACTGCATCTAAACTACAACCACTGAATCTGAAATGCTGCGTGACCTCAAATCTCTGCGCCCTGAGACCCTGTAGCTTGCCTTCCTGAGACACCAAACCTCAAATCCTGAATCATGCCAGCTCGAAGAGCTAGTTCTCGTACATGTTTTCTGTTCAGATGTATCCTTGGTCAATAGCGGCATAGCAGAAGAAAGAGGAACTTGTATCGGAGCGGACTCTGGAGTGTGGCTGTGCTCATCCTTGCAAGCTCCAACCAACCTTGTACGTGAGCACTGAGGGGTCTGCCATGTGTACTGGAACGTGACGCTGGCTCGGGAGACATCCCAGGTATACTGGTACAGAATGAATTGTCTGCCCTTCTGTCCGTTCACGTTCATACTGCCTGAGTGTACGAAAGCGGGCATTCGGTATAGGAGGCGATGGATCCGAACCCTTGCACGTTAGGGGGAAGGTGCGCCGAGCGCTGCGTAATCGGTACAGTATGAGCAGCAGAAGTTGGACCCAGATCGGTGCGGCTTGGGCATGGAGCACTGCTTCCTGTGTTAGCAGCCCATCTGCAAGCACACTGGGGGCTAAGAGACTTGAATTCGGAGGCCCTCGGCGTGAAGCAGAGGAGACCAAGACATCCCTGCAAGCTGAAACCCCGACCAGCTCGGCGAGAGCAAGCGAACCTGTGTTGTCCCTCTGCCTATACGAAACGTTCTTCTACATGGAGGGTCAGGTGGAATCTCTCAGTCACACATACTGTTTTGTACGGCTTGCTACGAATTTTGCCAGCCGTCCCACCGCAAAGCCTCCCACGGGCGGCGGCAAGAGCGAGGCAGTATCGGTATCAACTCCCCATAGAACACATAGAGATACTGGAAGCTTATAAATTTCCAGTACCTTCATGGACAGCCGGTACTGACTCGCTCTCGCAGCCGCCCAAGCTTGCACAAAGCAATATGATAGCAGTGTGATAAGTGCGCTTGATGCACGCGCAAGTCAATGTCCACAGTGATACGCAGTTATGAGATTCCAAGGTTCGCGCGATCACGGGTTGCCTGTGATATTTCCTGGCGCAAACAAAAGTGCAGCGCAGATGAAGGCTGACTTTTGCGAGTGGAATACATCAGAACATGTGAGCCAAGCCACTGAAACCACTTGAGAAGTTCGCGAGGCCCGGCCAGGATGAAGTGGCATCATTGGACCTCAGACTTTCTTGCATCGTAGACGGGCCCGAAGCCAGGCAGCCAGGCTCCTGTGCTGCAAAGGCACTGCTGCCTGTCCCAAGATCTGAGTGCGGCATGACCTTCGCACTTCGCACATTCAAAAGGAACAGGACACAAGGATACGAAAGGGCCAAGAGAGGGAGCAACAGCAAAAGCAACCACAAGCAGCCAGTCAGCCAGTCATTCGCTGAGCCAATCGCGATGTTGCCATGCAACAGGGAGGACAAGACATCATCAAATCGACCAGGCTCTACAACAGTGCTGACCTGCAAAGCAAGCAGCCAGCTATGCGACGCTCGAGAATCTTGTCCAACAAAAAGGAAGGCCGCGACGGCATCAGCTGATTGCTGGGTTTGGAAAACTTGTCCTGCAGAAAATTTGCGCACGCTTGATTTTCTCCAAGTGCAAACCAGCAGTCTGACCGTAAGCCGTAAAGCTGAAGGCAATTCAAGGCAGCTCCTCCAGGTGATCCGTCAAAGCAACTCATCCGACGCTTGCGATCAAACTGCACCTTAGCATCACGTATGAAAAGCTTGCCACTCCAGGCGCATTCCATTTAATTCCAAGATGCATCTTCCGATGCTGCTCGCATGCCTTTGGCAACGGCTACATCTGCTGCCTGGCTGGAGACAAACAGCTCGGCTCAAGGCATGACCAGGCTTCAGCTAAGGTCATGGCCGCAGACTCTGATAGCGATGCGCTGTTTCGATCAACAAATTGAAAGGGCAGCGGCCTCAGAGCTCAGACAACGAGCAGAGCAGCTTGGCTGGAAGCCTGGGGCAACAGCTTTCCGTCACTGCTGGGATCTGACAGCACATACAGCAGCACGAGTTCTCGTCCCTTGCTGGACCTCAGAAAAGATTCTGCCACGCAGGTTGCGTTCGCTCACTCCATCTGAGCTCTTGGCGACGGGAACTCCTGTGTTCATTGGATTCTGCACGAACCCTACCCCGAAGGTTCAACAAATGGCTTGCACCGGCACCTTGTTTGCTTGAAGCCCCTTGCCCTCTTTCCAGCGGCGGACCTTCCCATCGTGGCATACATCGATTGGATCGCGAAAAAAGGTAAAGGCCTCCCGAACCAATGGAGGAGGCTGTTGGCTCGGACTCCTGAATGGTCACTTCAGTAGGACAAGCATGGCCTGTAGCAGAGAAGCTTTCTTGGTGAGTGACGAAGCTGCGGTCTCTGCTGGCTGGGACCTCGTGTGCCCCAACAATTGAGTATAGGTGGGCGACTGACATATGTACCTTCATTCTCCTGCCAAGGAGCACAGTGGTGCTGGCACTGCCGATGCTGACTGTGCTCAGCGTTGATGGCGGCACCTGTTGCCTCCCGTAGCAGAGCGTCTCAGCACAACCTCTAGCGTCCAAAGTGTCTACGCGATGTCTCGGTTACACCAGGAGCAGCGCACCTGCCAATGTACGGTCTTGCGGCGGCTAAGTATCCAAATCGATCATGTCCTGCTTCACACATCACCCGATGCGAGGAGACTGGTCGAAACAATCATGATCCAACTAGTCGTGTAGCTGTACAAATATGAATGTCCTCTGCTAGCCTCGCCGAGTGCTGTGGCCGGGCGCCTGACAACAAGAACATGTCTTGAAGACTCCCGGCTATTTGAGTAATGTTTACTAGAAATAGAGACCCAATGCAGCAAATTCTGCCAAGGTGCGCTGGGTCAAGCATAGCTTCTATCCTTGGTACGCTGAGGCGTGGTGGCACTCAGCTGAGTTACTGACACTGCACCTGCAAAGAGCACTGTCTAGTGACATACAGTGAGGGCCGGTCTTTTTCGCTCGTTCATCCACTCCCGGCTTGCCTTCCACCTGCCAGCACGGGCATGCACATTGCCTTGGGCGTTGGACTGCTGCTGCAGATCTCTCTGCCGCGGGAAACGCTCAGGTCCTGTCTGTGCTCCTGCATTTACATGCATTTACCTTTCCAGTCTCTCCCTAGCCAGATGGCAGCGCCCTAAAACCTGCTGGCCGCTGACCACAATGTTTTGTTCATTCACGGCATGATCTAAGAGGTTTGGGCAAGTGACGGCCAGTGAGGAGGAAAAGGCCATGACAGGCAGAGGCAGATTTGTTTGAGTGAATCTCAGCTTCGGCATGCTACTAGTGACTATAATAGTGCCTACGGCACGGTTTGCGATGGCAATTCCAAACATTCACCCCACCAACTAGGACCAATCCAGTCCATGGTTGTGCGGCAGCACGGTAGGGAGACAAGAGTACCCCAAACCTTAGGACCACACAGTGAGAACCGGGAAAGCCATCTTCGCCACGGCGACTCAAGGAATGATTAGGGAAACGGGTAAGACGACTATCCAGAAACTCTGTACAGGTGGCATGACACGGCCCAACAGTTTTAGGTCGCTTGAGGACTTGGAGCTAGGGTTTGGCGGTACTTACTTGTAGGAAGCGACGGTCGTTAGTGGCGGAGGCAGATACGTGCAGCAGATGCCGGAAATGGCAGAAACCAACAATGACAGGTATATACAGGCATCAACCATGAAAGTTGGAAACAAACTCTTGGACCTGAAGAACACCGGTCAGGACATGAATCTCACGGGCTGGCCTCTTTCTGCGCCACACAAGCTTCTGCCCAACCTGTCAAGAATACGTGACGCTCGAAATCTAAGACACACAACGCAGCAATCATGCCACAGCAATGGCCAGTCAAATTTGATTGTGAGCTGGTCTTGCATCACACATCGTAAGATGCACGCTGCTAGCATTTTGGGAGAGCCGTGTGGTAGCCTGGGTGTTCCATGCAGCTTGCACCTTTCAGAATCTGCACCTTGAATGCTGCCAAGCCACTGGTGCCAGGGCGGGAAATGCACGGAGCCAAGCTCCAAGAAGGGGCCTCCACAGTCAACACGAGCAACAAAGGCACCACCTGTTGTTGCTCGTCTCTGCAAAGGAAATCCTCTGAGACTTTTGAGTCACAAAAACCGAGACATCTGAGCCTCGTGAATCGCTTTCCCTCACAGCAGAGCCTACTCTAACACAGAAAGGTGGATCAAGTAAAACTCTCACAATCAACCCCCAGCGCTGCCGTTCAGTTCAACGTAACGAAGAGTTCTCAAAGCAACGCCACAGCCCCACACCCTGAGCGCGTCGTCGCCAGATGGAGCTGCAGATCGCCCAACGTTGGCCTGGGCGCATTGTCGCAGACTCCGAGCCCTAAAGATTCTTGCCAAAGGTCGACCTGCAGTGCTGGCAAAATCCATCAGTCTGAGCAATGCACTTCCAGCGATTGAGCGGCAAGACCTCCACATGCTTGGCTCTAGACAAGGTCACGGAGGAAGGCTGCGGGACCTGCAGCCCCAGGTCTCGTTCCTGCTCATCTTGCAGACCTGACAGTTGACAGTTCACTGTGAAGCACACTGAAACATGTCAGAGCGGCAGGTGAGCGGCCTAGCTCTTGCTGCAGCATGGAGGCCCATGCATTGGCCGTGTCCAACGACCTGACAACAGCAAACATGTGCGGTCTGGTGGCTCGGGGGTCTGGAACATTCATTCCAACTCAGCGCCTGCATTGGTTTGAAAGGTCTGCCGTTACCATCATAGCTCGCATTACCACCTGAAGCCATTTGCGCTGGATCTCAAGTCCAACAAACACCAGCAAAGTGAAGCATCCAGACCTGCCTGCAAGATGGCGGCGCCTGACAACTAGCAGAGCACACCCAATGCCACTTTGCGCATGACTGGACACGCCTTCTTCACTAGAGTGATCTGCACTCTTTGGTGCATATCCTGCACAATTGCTTGCTGAGGAAGCTATGAGAAACTTGATTGCTGCTCCTTGTCGCGCCAAGATACGGACATCTTCAACTACGTCTCTATGGCCTTGGCAAACAGACCCACGGCACAAGCGGATTTCCGAAACCTTGGCCAAATTTTCTGGCTCCTCTTCCTTACTCGGCCACAAGCAATATTTGTCTGTGTGGAGGAGGAGATCAATCGCAAGTTTTCGCGTCTCGCGGAACTCCTACGAGCCCCGCTACAGAGAGCTGAGGTTGCATTAGAGCTGCAGATGCAAGCCTCGCTGGGGATGTGCCCCAAGACGTTGTGTCCATCCTGATCCCAAATTCACAGATGCGCCACGGAGTCAAGCAAGCTCAGCAGCCTTCTTCAAAATCTCGAAAAGCTTGCTGCTATGCATGTTCCTGGCCCAAGGTGCGCTGCAGAAAAAAGGGTATCACCCGGTACCAAAACCTCAAAAAAAGCTAGTCTTCCTCTCACTGCGCAACATGCCAGTCTAGACTCCAGCGGCGACAGGTCGTTGTAACCTGAGCGCAGATGCTATGGGGCAAGCAAAGCTTCTGCAAGCAAAGGTCTTGGCTGGGCTCTGAACATGAAGCTATCGGATCACCGGAGTCCACGAGGAATGCATTATCGAAGCCAGGGTGGCCAATGTCAACCTTACAAACGCACCAAACTTGCAGGCAGGCAGGCATAGGCAGGCACTCTAACTGACTTGATATCTGAGGCCAGGACGGCAAAAGCAGAAATAGCAAGCGCAAAACGTTGAAAATGCTGCAGGTTTTTGTCCCAAGGGGTTTGGCTGCCTGCCATCATCCAACAGCTGACAGGGCTTCCAAACAGCTCGGCGACAAACCACACTGTGAAGCTTCAGTCTCAGCACCAGGCATTGCCATCTCATCGCTTGTAGCGTATCCACAGCCTTCCGATGTGATTGCTCTGGTGTAGCCCCTTCCGTCTACTCTCACCCGAGGCCAAAGCATGCATGAGGTTGTGGAAGGCAACTTGGCGGTACGCTGCCGAGACACTTTTGACAAAGTTTCGCAGCACCTCCACCTGCAACGAAACAGCACTCTTCAGCACTGGCCTGACAGCAAATCCCAAGTAGGTGGCAACAGCGCCTTTCGCCCGCCACTGTCGGTGAAGTTTGGGGACAGCAGCTGGATAGCCTCGGCAGCTGGCATGCTGCAGGCTACCATTCACTTCAGCTTTGCTAGCACAGGTTTCGCTGCACATGGAAGGACAAAGGACAACAATGCATACAGTACTTAGTCTACTGTCCGCGGCGACCAAAAGCTGTCAGGCATGTATTTTTTACTCCAGACTTGTCGTCACCACCTCTTTGCAGCTCCATGGTTCCGCCACCGGATGCAGGAGGAAACAATATCAGACTCGTACACGGTCAAAAGGGCGCGGCAAAGTGCTGTAGCGTGGCTGAGTCGAGGCCAATGGGGCTGAACTCCTGGCCACAGGCTGACTAGGCCCTAGGCCCGAGGAATGGTGCATTGAACCCAAATCCCAGAGGCTGCGGCCCAGGTCAAACTTGGTGAAGCCTGTGAGCGGAAGATATCAATCTCAATAAGCAAACTCCATTTGACAGACAGGGGCCATTGAACCAAGTGCTTCGGACCATGTTCAAATAATGTTGGCTCGCACGATTTCCCTACACCAAACTGACAATGCTGCAGACTTACTTTCACAAAGTTATGGCGGTCTATATCTGTGAAATGTAGTGTGCGTTGAATGTAAGCCCCGGCACATGCTGAGAATTTGATGCCAGGAGCTGTGCAGAGGCCTTTGTGATCCTTGTCTACCACACCAGTAACTGGTACTTTTGGGAAGTTGGGAAGAGATGTTGGGAGGGAGGTCTGAGCAATTGTTTCCGCACAGTGAAGGTTGCGCAAGGCATGCATCTTGGGCTCGGACCTGCACAGGAGCTTTGCCTCAGATGCCAACAGGTGAAGAAAGAGGACTGGAGGGAACCATTTTTCGAGTCCCGGGAGCTTGCAAGCACGGGTGCCGCTGCGCATGGCCGCACGGGGCCCTTGTCACAATCTGCCTCAAAAGACAAGCTGCTGAAGCTGCTGAAGCTGAAGCTGTTGGAGTTGTGTCTTAGGGGGCATCCACTGCGCATGACTGGCAGCTGCTGTTGCCCATACCGCGCAGTGGCGCCTGCAGCTTCGAAGTACCAGAGGACTTCAAGAACACCTACGGAACCTAAGGATGGCGGCTGAGTAAACTGAGCCGCCGTCTAGGCTGCTGCCATGCCATCATCAAGGTTCAGCTACTCTGGAAGGCTTGCACTAAACCATGCCTGTCCGATTCAATGGGTGGCGGTAATCGGGTCAAGATGCTGAGCTGCTGTCAGGGTGCAGGGCCTGTGCAAATGAACTCTGTAACACAATCCCTGACATGATGCACTGAATACGCTTTGAGCACCAGAGCATTCAAGAGGATTCAGAAGGGCTGATATGTGCACTGGTACATCACGTCTTTCGAAGCAACCACAGGCACTGGTCTGGGGCCTTGTGCAATGCCTTGAGCTCGCTTGCCACTTGAACTGACCCATCAGCCGCCCTGCAAACTAAACAGAAAATCCCATCCAAGCAAGAAGTTGCTCAGAACTTACTCAGGAATCAAGCTGAGAAGCGGGCCAACCAATGTACAAGGGTATGATCCCAACGGGATCACGTGCCACAACATACCTTGTCAAAAAAACAAAAAAAGACACGACTTGCCAGTTGCTGTTGAAATACATGCCACTTACCCTAAATTGGTATTCAAAAGCCAGTTGCGTTTGTTTCCTCTTGTCCCAGATTGCAAAGGCGTACATGCCGAGCACCTGAGCGGCATGGAAACTTAGCTGACAAGAGATCGTAAGCGTGAGCCTCGTTCTTGCTCATGAAGTCCAAGCCATCCTTCAAGGCACTTCCAAGCGAAACGCATATCGCACGGACAAATCGAGTCACTCCTCAGCATACAGATGGAGCAGGACCTTTCCAGACATCAAAGCTCAAGATCGCACGTAGTGACGTAGTGGGGATACCGCGGATGGCCTCGCAGTCGCTCTTTGTAAGAAATCGGTGCTTTCCTGGAGCTCGGGCCTGTTGCGAACAACAGAAGCGCCATGACTACGTCCTGATCCATCAGTCAGCGCCTGTAGAGCCTTCTGCAACTCGTCGTAGTTGTAGATCTCACCATTGACCCCCAGCACAATGTCCCGGGCCTCTGCGCCAGGTTCTCCAACCAACACTGGAGATGCTAGAACAGCGCACAAAACACACCGGACATCCGGGCGCCTCGTTGTACAAAGGCTGATCACCGCTGTCAGGATCGACAATGGCCAGGCGCTCGTGGGCGATAATTGTAGATCCCTGGCAAGACAGCCTCCTACTAAACTTGCATCTTTCAGCATACCCAGTTTTGCGGGAAGGTTGCATGCTGAACTTGCTTCTTGAGCGGATGCCTCGCAGTAGACCCCACTCCAGTCAGGTCCTCTGTGACCTCACCCCAAGAAACCCTGGACAACAATTTCCAACGGCACCCTGTAGGGCGCTGACGCAGAAGTTTGGCAGCCTCGACAACCTGCTTCCTGAGAGGACCTGCGTCCTTCACGTAAAGCGGCTAGGGTACACTCACCCAGTAAAGCTGCAGCAGAAACTCTGAAGGTAAAGAGACTGTTTGCCCAAAGTCCTGCAATCCAAAGAGCGCTAAGATTCCACACATGACCTCAACAAGGTCAAACATGTCGCGGATGTAACGAATCGAAATCTGAATCTGCATGTGCCAGGCACTCAAGCCATTTCAAAACAAGAACAATAGTGCAGCTTGAGCTCAAGGAAATGCCAGGGTTCCAACTCAGAACGTCCGAGGAGATAGAAAAAGTCCAGGGAGCTCGGGAGTCTGTCAGAACGCTGTGTGAGGCTGTCCAACAATACCCTTGGCTAGCTCGGAGTGTTGACACCGGAACGGTTCATGCTTTGTGCCCGATTTGCTCCAAAATCGTTCTGAATGAGCCCCAATGCCAACGGCCATCTATGGATTCTATGGCTACCAACTTTCCAACAAGCATTCCCTTTTCCTCGCTCCTTTTCGTGCGGTTTGATATTTTCGGCAATCACAGAACCTACGCTGCATCGGCTCATTCAGCCGTTGACCGCAACCTGTGCAAACCAAGTCTTGCAAACAACAATCATGACTCCGTCTTGCATGCAGAGCTTTGTATACTGATTTGGACCGTGCTCATGTCCAAGGATTTTCCGAAGCTGGAATGAGTGGTTTCCACAACCGCTGCCTCAAAAATACAAAGCCCTTGTCCATGCAGGACACAATTCCATTGCATGATAGTTCGAGGCTATCCCGTGCCAAGATTCTCTGTTGCTACGGGACACTTTGGCCAGCATGTGCCCTGTCTGGAGCCGAGACACGATCATGAGAACTGCTGCCTGCGCCCAACAATGAAGACAAGCAAGTGGCTTGCATGCCCTGAGGCCTGGATTCGGTCTAAAGCTTTTGTCTTATGAGGCGGAATTGTGCTTGTCTTTTTCGCGCTAACAAGCTCAGGCCTGCCTCTTGCGCACCAGATGAAAGGTGCCCCCACAACTGCAAGGGAAAACACACACACTTTAAGCCATGAAGACTACGGCAAACCGGGCAGCACTCCGAGGTCGTGGCACCTCAAGGGCAGACATTTGAGCCATGAAGGGCCCTGTGATACTCAAGCAGGGCGAGCTGGCTTTTGCATGTCAAATGTCCTCCTACTTTACACATAGGCTACCAGGCGCGGGCCAAGGAGATACCCCGTCTTCCTTTATCACTTTTTTCGACTGGGGCATATATACAGACATGATTTCGTCCAAGGCCCGTCCAGCGCTGGCACCGATTCCAAAGCATCTTGCTGAAACAAAAACATCAAGTTTGGGTCTCCTATAAAAGTCACTAGCTATTGGGCTACACATTGGTTTGCGCTTTTGCATTGAATGGCCTGCAATTGGTCCTGACAGCCCCATGTCGCCAGGATCTGTTTGAGATCTGCTTGCATTGGGCATTCGGCAATGCAAGCTCATGGATCGATCCCCTTCTTTTCAAAGACTGCAGGCCTGCCAGAACAGGCATCCCCCAGCACATCTTATCATCTGGCATGCGTCCCGTCAGGACTTGTGCAGAAAGTAACCGTAACCTGCAAGACACTACACCTAAATCGCGATTGCTTCGAAGCGAAAGGACTAGACAGCGAAGCAGAGACGTACAAGTCCATCAGAGCAACACACAGCCTGCCTAACCACCAAAGCCATAAATCGTACGGCCCTGGCGCTTCAGCGCGTACACAATATCCATGGCCTGACTGGATATCAAGTTAGCGCTGTCCGAAAACTCAATAGGCACCATGCTGTGTTAGGATCAGGCCGTCAAGGATATTTGCCCCACAAATATGGGTTTCATTTAATCCGTGCTGGCTTTACATTGCTCGGGCCTTCTGCGGAGTGGAGCTGGCTGGTGCGCACAAGGAGAATAATCAGTAGAAGTTTTGCTTCAAATGATCGACAAGCGTTCGCCACACACCTGAAAACCGGAGTTGTTCTGGTGATCACTGGAGTTACTCCAAACAGCTCAACCGGCGCACCCTTCACAAAACCAACATCTTGGATGCCCAAAACTCCAACCATTCACGATGGTCTGCATGACCGTATGCAAAATTGCCGCGACCTTCACGATATGTCTGTAGGAGCGGGAAGGTGCATTGTACATCAACCCAGCCATACAATGCAAGCATATCCGTGTTGATGTCGGTATGAAGACCAGGAAATACGAATTTGAACAAGATCGAGGAATCGAGGAAGAATAGAACAACAAAGGGGCACGCTGCAACGCCTGATGCCCGCCTGAGTGTCTGTTAGTATGCCCGCGTGCGAGAGGTTACGTGTTCACGCGCCTACTGTTTGAATATGTTTTTGCTTGCTTGCATGTATGCGTTGAAAGCGCACTTCCAAGTCGGCAAGTTTTTTATTATGGCATGCCACCTTATGTTGGCTCATGTGCTTGACTGGCATAATGGACTTGTGTGCTGCAGCTTAAGAACTGTGAGGCGTCCCTTGTGTTGCTGCTACATGAAAATCTCGGTCATTTTTCATGGCAGCGAAATTGAATAGTTCTAGGAAACTTTGGTAGACCCCAATGTCATTTGAAGGAAGTGATGAATTCATTGGCAAGCTTAAGTTGCCACTTCCGCCAAGGTTTAAGGGCAAGCCCCAAGATTGCAAAGAATGCTCATGAACTTTCGAAGCTTGCTTGGCCATGTTTGATGCCCATGAACTTGATCCTACAGAAGTAACAAATGAAGACTTGGCTGTGACATGCTGTGGCATTGGTTGATGCGCAGGGGACTGCAACTGGTGATCATGCCGCTACGGCTACGGCGGCCCATGTGACTTTCAGTCAGAAGTTGCATTACTGGATGAACAAACTTGACAGTCGCTGGACTCACAATTCGTCAGAATTGATTCGAATTGTTTTGGAAACTTGGTATCGCTTGATGTACATGTTTGCACTTCCTGATGCAATAAGGCAGGTTTCCTTTTTGACCCAGCTATTTGGTTTCAAGTTTAGGTCCCGATCCTTAGAGCATCTTAGAGCAGACTGGAAGAAAACTTTTAGACTGTGTTCTCGTTGCCACTTTGTTGGATAAGACAACCTGTGCTTTGCAGCAACACCTGAGGTTGAATGCGCGTACCTTGACGACTTTTGAGAAAATTCAGGCGACCAGACCTGAATACCATCAGTTACGGCAGATACTTACAGGCGCCGCCTCTTGGTCGAATCAGGGTCCTTCTCCGATTGGACATAAAGATAGGAAAGGCTTCGGCAAAGATGGCTCAGGCTACTTGATGAAGGAAGCGCAAAGGTAAAGGTAAAGGTAAAGATAAGAGGACAAAGGCAAAATGGCACAAAAAAGAAAGGATTCCGCACATGAACTTTCACATCGCGGCGAAGGCATACGGAAAAGACAAAGGAAAGTCCAAACTTCGTGGTCAGCACGCTTTGGTGTGTTTGGACTTGCGGAAAACCTGGACATGTGCGTCGGGCACACTGCGGCCACAGCGTCCTTCGAGAATGCGTCAGTTGAAAGTGATGAACTTCGGGATCAAGTTTGGTGTGATGGCTTGTCCACAGCGTGCATGCGTTTATGAACGTCTGTGCGTGCATTTCTGTATTTACATGCCCATGTCTGCACGCATGTCATGCATGTTGCCTATACTCATTACGAGTATGCGAGACATGGAACAATGCATCCAGGCATGTACCGTGCGCCCATCACGCTCAGGAATAATGCACGACACGCCTAATGTAGGCAAGCATGACAACATTCACGCCTACTATGTATGTACCTACTTGCGTACCACAACTATGTATTTATGTTTTCATGTAATCCCTTCCCCCTGAGATTGAAGCCCCCGCCACAATATAAAATACGGGTTCCCCAGAATTCGAAATTCTGAAGTCCCCCCCTTTTCAAAGGGCCAAGACTAAAGTTAAGAGAGTGTAGTAATGTGTTACTTTCTGAAGTTAATTACGGCTCGGATCCTCTGAATTGGGGGGGCCCAAGCACGACTTTTAGGATTAGCGGGATTGTTTTTGGATTGCTTCGTATACAGGAGTTTATATAGAGTCTGAATGGGATTTTGATCGGGTTTATTGCAGTTTTAAAATCATTCCCAATTAGCTTTACATAGATTTGAATGTGCGCTTTTTAATTGCTTTTCAATTGGTTTATTCAGAGTTTCATTAGATTTCAATGGCTTGTAGTTTGATTCCAAAGGGTCTCGATTTTGAGTCGTTTTACTGTGTTGTTTTTCGCTTGAATCGAATTTTACACGAGATTAATCAGATTTCAATAGGACCCTATTGTGTACCCCCCCCTAATGACCTTGATGTGCAGGTCGTACGATAAATACCCCCTCAATTTAGAATACGGTTCGGAGTATATACATTAAGGGAGGGGGACGCCCTTTAACATTAGCGGAAAGGATTAAGGTATTTACGTAGAAAGACATGGATGACGACATGAAGGTATGTATGTTGGGTATGTATGAGGGAGAGCGGCGGAAGGAGGAGGAAGGAGGAAGTAGGCAGGGAAACTCAGAGAAATGTGTCTACACTGGATCCAAGATGCAGGGGCACATGTCCTGGAAGCACCCTAGCACCGGTATGCAAGCGCTCAGCTTGAATATTGACCAGGCGACAGTCACGGTTTTGCGGCGGGCATGCTCCGTGTACGTGATCCTCAGAAAGCGCATTGAAGATTTGAACTTGTTCTTTCCGACTGCTTTCTTCTAGCTGCGGAAATCAGGGCCCGAACGAGTCGCGGAGAACGTTCTCCAAGAAGGTCTTCAAGACACCGCGGGTCTCCTGATACTTGCAACTGAGGCCAGAGCAACAGCTACCTCACGTTATCTGCCATATGTTTTGCCACCTATCCTCTGACTCCGGAAGATTTTTGGGAGGGAGTTGCAAACACACAGCAGGTGATCTACGGAAAACCTAATCCTCAGAAATCCACCAAAAGGGCATGGCATGACAGGCGCGTGAAGCTTTCTCGTCTGGCCAGTTTGCCGTTTGATGGGCCTCCGATTCAGGTCTCTTGCGATACATGTCCATTATTTGTTGGCAAACTACGTCCTGGCTAATTGAGGCAGACATTGGTTCATAATGCAAGTCAGTTGTCGGTC